TATAGATGTCGACTTTCATTTTAGTCATGATTTCGTCTACTTCGGAGTAAACATCCATCATCTCGACTTCTTCGCTCGTGTCATGCCCATCTTTCTTACGGTATTGGCGCGGCAAGAAGTATAGGTTCCTCAGGATGTTATCGACTTTGACGAAGCAGCTCACGTGTGCGCCTGTCTTCTTGTTCAGAACTTTCCCGAACAAGCAAAGCGAGCCATTGACTTCGGTGTAGTCAGTCCAAAACATGTTCAAACTACCATCCTCCTCGATAGCATCCTTATAGTCGATCTTCCCGATAGTTCGGCCTTCCGCAGGTGAGCTACTGACAACACTCAGTTTATTTGTCAGATCGTTCCAAGACGACGAGTCAATAGCCGTATCAGGGGCCTTTGAAGGGGAAGAGCTCGCGGGAGACGGATATGGATTAGGTTTGACCAGCTTCTTCTTGATGGGCCGAGACGCGGCCAAATTGACACTCGCCGTGTTGATTGTACCGGCGTGAGCGACCTCCATCATCTCTTCATCATCCTCATCCGCGGGCTCGGTCTTCGCTTGAGTCCTACGCTCAACAGCTTTCGCCGTTGGGGATGAAGGGACCGCGGCGGAATCGCTCATAGGCAATTCGGCAGCGGGCAGCGGAAGGTCATCGTCCATGGCTGGGAGAAAGCCGTCATCGTCCGGGTAGGCATTTTCGTCTTGGGGTGACGGTAATCGCTCTTCGCTAAGTCTGGGTTTCTTGGTGACGGGTTGGCGAGTCTCTCGAATAGGCGATAGAATGCGAGCACGGCGCCGTTCTGGAGACCTATGCCGCTTCGAAGCTCGAGACACCGGGGCTGGGATGTTTGTATCGACTTCGCCAAGCAAGTCTGCCAGAAACCTATCGTCGTCTTCGGTTTTCACCACCTGGTATCATAATCAGCTACAACCAGCTACATACGGATTTTTTATAGGACAGAGTCACCCCACCTTTGGTTTCGGTTGAGGGGCAGATTGTCCCTTCATGAAGTACTCGCTTATGTTACGATCATTGGCGTCTCGTTTGGACTTTTCCTCCTCGCGTTTTCTCTTGTCTGTCACAGCTAGAGTAAGCCCAAGAGCATATAGAGATATGTCAGCCTTGCAATACCTGACTTGCGGTCTTTCCCTCCAAGGACGACCTCGTCTTCGCTCTCTGAACCATAGGTGTGCACACGATCCCATTCCTCTCGGCCATCGTCGGCATAACCTTCGCCATTGTCGTCAACGACAAAGTCATCCTCGTTCAAACGATCGCGGACAATCTTCTTATATTGGTTCTCGTCGACTTCCTCATACAGGTCTTGTTCCTGGGCAACCTCGTAAGAGTCGTAGGCCTTTTTACCAGAAGCCCGCAGAGCTTTAAGCTCGGCGAACTTGTTACGCTTGTTAATGGCCCTCGACATCTTCATGCGTCCAAGATGACTTAAAACGGTGTCTGTGGACGATAGGTTGTAAAAAGTAACTCATGTGCAAATTAGCAGATGGGGAGGAGACGCGTAGGTAAATCAATTGTCACAAGGGTAACTTGAATGGGAAACGGGAAATAGGAAACGCGACGCGGGCCACTTTTTACCTAAGACGCGTTGATAGCGCGAATCCTTGACACTGGAGGTCAATCAATCATCCTGGACTTATTACAAGAAGTGGGTACTCCGTATGTACATGTACATTGCCTCTAGTGGCGGAACGCTATGTAAACTGTACCTGGCAGAACGGCGTCAGAAAACACCAACACAACAAGGGGGGTTTAAGGTGGCTTGTTGTGTGGGTACGTACCTAGCCATGTCTGTACCTAGGTACCCGACCAGGGCTGCTCCAGACCGACACGGCCCGGCATACGATCAACGTCACAACTTAATCTACCTAGGTACCTCCTAGGTAGGTACCTAGGTACATGTAGATAACCTTATCGATAATGTAGCGTTCGCAAAAGCTCGACTATATCGAAAATTTCCCAGTTATGCGATCTATATAGGCTCTCTCTTATTAGCATCGACGTCCCAGTGTTGGCAAGGCAGGTAATCATGTTCATTTGCAGAGCATGTTTTACGAAAGCTTTCTCGACCACCATCAATCACACCCTCCGCCTACCCAACAATGCTACTACTCTGCGATCCATCTTGGCCTCGACTCATCCCCGTCGACAGCGATATGCGACAGCCACCTTCTCTACCGAGTTCGAAGAGCAGCCTGGAACTCCGAGAGATAATCGGCCGCCCAGAAGGCTTCTCAGACCCAGAACGGCCCACGACCCCAGAGAGTGGGCTGCCAACAAACAACTACAATACATGAAAGATCCACTGCACATCGCCAACCATGTCAAGAACACACTAGATAAAGGCAGATTCGACGATGCTGCACTCATCGTAAGGAAAGCCAGTGCCTATACGAAGCTTGTCGTCAGCTGGAACCATTTGATCGACTATCAGCTGCGAGAAGGCAGACTACATGCCGCTCTCAAGCTCTTCAATGAGGTCGGTAGTCAGTCCTCGCAAGTGTTGCCATTGTTATTACCATTGTTCGTACCCTAACTTACAGTTGTCTTGTCTAGATGAAGAAGAGGGCTCAGTTTCCAAATGCCCAGACATTTACCATCATCTTCAGAGGCTGTGCTAAGTCGCCTCATACAAAACGAGCCCTGGCAGAAACAGTCAAGCTATATCAGAACATGCTGGCCAGTGATCGCATAAAACCTAATATCATCCATTTGAATGCTGCTCTACAAGTATGTGCCAGGGCTCAAGATCTCGACTCCATGTTCACTATTGTGCAATCGGCAAACGACGGCTTGAGGGCTCCCAACAATCTTACATACACAACCATCCTCAATGCACTACGGCGATCGACAGAAGACAAACACAACTATACCCCGGCTGACATAGTTAATACTAGTGAGGTCGAGAAGGACGTGGCACAAGTCATTGGGCAAGCCAAAGGTCTGTGGGAGGAAGTTATATCAAAATGGAAAGCAGGCTCCGTCGTCATTGATGAAGAAGTAGTCTGTGCGATGGGGAGGATTCTGCTCATGGGTAACATCCATGACGTTGACTCGATAGGGGCATTGATCGAACAGACAATGATGATCCCTGTCGAGGATAGTCGCGAGATTGCCCACGCCTCCGGGGAGGTAAATGATCCTTTTAAGAATCGAGCAGACCCAAAGCTAGGCCCTGCGGCGCGCGGGAATAGCAAGATCAAAGCCCCTGGCGCTCCTTCGCTCCACCATGCACTTCCTGGCAAGAACTCCCTTTCTTTGATCCTTTCGGCCCTTGAGAAGACCGGCAAAACGACTCGAGCCGAGCGGTATTGGGGCATCTTCACCAAGCGTTACGGTGTCATTCCCGACGCCGAGAACTGGTCACGGTTACTCTCGGTCTATCGCCGCGCGAAAAACAGCTCTCGCGCTGTTGCGGCTCTGCGCAGTATGCCAGATAACCTGATGGTCCCGAAAAGCTTCCGGTCCGCCATGAGCACCTGCTTGCGAGATAATCTCAACAAGTCTTCTTTCAACAACGCGACGCAGGTACTGGAGATCATGCTTACGACGCTGCGTATCCCCGACTTATTGACGCTTCGTACGTATCTACGGGTGGCCTATGCGAATAGACGCCTGTTTATAGAGCACCACAAGGGCAACTTCAATGCCGCGATGAATGCGTATGGCAAACAGCTGAGCGTCGCCCTCGATAACCTCTGGAAGCCTTACCGAATCGCCGCGAAGCACTGCGTATACAATAAAACAGAACCGCCGAATTCAAAAGCCGAGGTAGTGGCACTGGCGCGGAAGATGATCACTACGTACGATCGCCTGATATTCAACGATATGCTGTCTGGCCCCGAGACGGAGAGATTGAAGCCGATGCGGAACCATCTCAATAGATTCGTTGTCGCCCACTTCGACGAATTGAAGAAGGAGACACTCAAGTCCGATGAAGACAATGTAGAGAAGCTGCCGCTTGAAGAGGATGAAGAGAAAGATGAAGAGAAGGACGAAGAGAGGGATGACGATGCCAAGTTCTTCGACTCGATACGGCAGCAGAGGAGTAATCTCATAAAGAGGCGTACTATCACCGAGGGGTGGTAGCTTGCGAGCCCTTCCCCATGAATACTGTGTATAATCAATGCCATGGTTATAGTGTATGCTACTCGAGCAGTGCTCAAAATACCCCTTTATATAGATTTTGTATATTAGTGTGGGCAAAAGCGTTGATATGTATTCATACAAATTTTGAAGCAATGATGAGAGCATTAATACAAGTAAATTCCATGTAAATGAAATGTCCTGTCATTATATCCAAGCAATCATGCCCTTATCACTGTCTGCTTTATATACGATACCTTCAACCCATACCCTTGTGGACTACTAGTGTGTCCAAGCCCTTAGCGAACCCTCTTTGTGGACGCTTGAGGGGTACCGAAAATACTTGACAACCAAAATTAGTTGATAGCCATGGACATTATAATAAACGTTAAAGCTACTAGAAGCGCTCTTGAATTTGGATCGATCGAAGCAAGAACTCAACACCATCATTCCCGCCGTCGAGGCCACTAACATTCCTTTGCCGGTAGGTACTGCCCCACCGGGACCGGCTCCATTCACGCCTAACGGTGCAATATCTTTCATATTTCACACTTCGCTGGTAGCTAATCTCAACGCCATTTGGCATCTTGGATGGGAATACTCTAGTTTGATAGATCTAATTCTAATCAGTAGGTAGTCCAGGAGATACATCCTTAGCTGTGTGAAAATCTCACAGCTAGCTGGCCCAAGACTCAGGACCTAGGCACGCATCTCAAACATCCGGCGGTGTAAAGTAATTGCAACAACAAGCGATTTCATAAGACAACTCGTCAGTGTGGGTAAATATTCAGTCATCCGAAGCAATCAGGAGGGTCCATGCAGGCTTATAACTAAGTTTTGTAGGCCGATTCTTCAACTAACCGAGGTCCAACCGAATTGTGGGAAGACTTTGTGTTCACTGCAGACACTGTGGCCGAGTGGTTAAGGCGATGGCCTGCTATTAACAGTAGACAAGCCATTGGGTTCGCCCGCGTGAGTTCGAATCTCATCGGTGTCGCCATTCTCTTTTTCCTCTTGCTATACACGTAATTCTTTTTACTCTTCCCCTCCACCTCGGTAGACTGCGCATAAACATTCCTTTTCATGATCTCAATCATTAATTGGCCAATCTCTTGATACATACATTCACAGTATCGTGTACCAAGAAATGCTTCCAGATACAGTTACAACATGTCGGTATCATACCTTTACAATTTTGCAACCTACATCAAGTGACGATTCGATTGCAAGATATGCATTTGCTATACAGGTCATTACTATCCAGGATCATCACATTACTTGGTCGGTGCCATTCGTTAGCTACGTGCAGTTAAATCCCCAGCTTCTGCAATATTCATCGATTTAATGTTAAGTCGATTGGTCACATGGCACATCTTCCATTGTCATATACAGTGATCAATATAGCTGAATCTGCTACTACATATGTGACGGGGTTCTTAGGTCTTAGCAGAAGTGTGTTACTTTTGACTCGAATCTTTCCACGTCAGTGCCTCCATCCATCCGATCACTACTGGATACTTGGGTATTAGTTTTGGCCTAATTTTCAATGAAGATATTAGGATAGCTCGGGTCACGGTCCTAGGCAGGATTCATAAAGGAGCCATACCGTAGGTATCCAAACTAAGGTAGCCAGAAATATGTGTATTAGCACCCCCAACGCAAACAGCATACAAACGAAGGTCAAACTTTGAGTATGGCACAGGAGCCTTTATACATCAGAATCGACGATATCATTCAAGAGTATTTCCTGTTGAACTATACCACTTGTTGGTTTCAGAGGCAATAAGGTATGTAAGAGCCTTACGCATAACAGTGTGAGAAGAAGGGCCAGGATGATGATGATTTTATTTACATTCGTGAGGACGAAGATCTATCTACTCTAGTCTACCTTGCCAGCTGAGCAAAAGAGATCTATCTTCGTCGACGCTCCATGGAGTATAGGGACAGTTGGAGTACCGTGGCGTAACGTGAAGAAGGGCCAGGAGTCTGTTAGTCTAGCTAGAACTTCCGCTAATTTCTCACGTAGTTCTATGTCATCATCAACTCGTAATTGTCAAAGTAGCAACTAGCAAGGTATGCATATGGCCCGTTCCATAAAGTGGCAAGAGGCGTAGAGTGAGGTACTGGATCAGGTATGATAGGTTCAGAAGCAGGCGTAGCTGTAAATGCAGCACGGCGATTTCGCATAGGTACGATCTAGACCGAACAAACCCAAGGCCGATAAGTCACCACTGAGCCAAACTGAATAGGAATATAAGGATTCCGGTTATTGACCTAGTATCTGTTAGCTGAGCTAGGTAGTTGAGACCTCGGTTCGCCCTTCAACCAACTCAGATTCCACCATATCTGATGGTAGATAATAGGTATTTGTAAAGCATATTCTTTCGGTGGTTCCAGATACTCTATTTGTATTAGTCATCTATAAATTGAATAGAAGTAACCATATTCTACCTTGTGTTCAGTCACGGATAGTACGAGATCCGAGCAGCCATGGTAATCATCTCCCAGATAGGCTCTATACATGAGGCAAGCATCAATATGATGTGTCAATTCACTTCTCGGTATCTTGAGGGACGGCATGTGGTCTCTTGTTTCCCTATCTTGCCGTACCAAACATCTTCGCCATCACGACGCCATCACGAGGACCACGAGGCTTCGAGACGGCAGAGGAACGAAAGTGATTGGTGGAAACGATGACTCCGTCAAGTGTTAGTGATTTGCAGCCAGCTAATCAGTCAGTTATGATATTCTACAGTGTGAAACACGAATGTAGTGAGACATCAAGTGTGGCAGGCGACCGATATTAGCTTGTACGAATAGACATATGTAGGTATCCGACGCCAGCTAACACCGTGCCAAATACGCCACGTACAGTTATCTATAAAATTAAAATTAAGAGCATGTGTCTATTTTATTAGAATTGAACTAGTGGATTGTAGGACAAGGTATATACACCTAGGTCTATACTCCTAGATCTATCGACACAGATACTAAATACCATGAGTAGCGTCATAATATCTCAAGGATCCTTCCCTTAGCTCTGAAGGCAACTCTCTACTATACCAGCACCATCAGAAGAGTTACACAATGTTATAACGTGAATTAAAAAATATATTATACATATCTTAAGCAGTCCGGGGTTAATCAGAGTTGAAAAGGGGGCTTATACACTCACCACCCAGTTAGATAAGACAGGTGCACAGAACATCTAACACCCAGCACAGCATAATATAAGGCAACATTGTTTCAATAAAGCTGCAATTGTTATATTATATACTAGTAGTGTCACGATAATATGGGTATTAAAGATCTCTTTTAAGCCTATGGATCTCGGAGCAATATTGCTCCGAGATCCATAGGCCTAAAAAGAGATCTTCTGTAACTAGAAGATCCTTCGGATCTTAGATCTTTACACAATTTTACTAGAGTGATCACGGCAGCACCTAAATGATCTTTGCACACACTGTAACTGTGATAAGTAGGTAGTTACTGTAAGCTAAAGATTATAGTTCTAACCCGTCATAAGAACTTGCGACGGAGTAGTAAAATTGGTGAGACAGCCACAACATTCACGTCAAAGCTGGTTATGGAACATCAAATTTTCCAGGGAATTCATGAATTCATTCAGATTCGCCTATCAATTTATTCATTTCACTATTTCAGCTTCATATCTCCTATTTAGTAGTATCGCTCAGCCTCTCGAGAGCTCTGGGTGACGCTCTCGGGCGGCTCATAGCCCTCAGCAGATATGCTCCCCGGCACGCTCTCAGGTGTATAGTAGTCTGAACCTTTGAACTGGTCCTTTCGCGGAGCGTACTTCGTGCCCTCGATATTGGACTGGACCGCCTCCTTCCCTTGTGGCAACACGTCCCGACCGTCCCGACCGTAGGGGACGGTCGACTCGGTAGCGTCTCGAGAGCCGACCTCGCGCTGACGCTTTCCTGTAGGATCGAATTCATTGTTACCACCGTAGTCTCGGGCCTGCTGGGCTAGCTTCTGCTCTGGTCCACCAGCACCCTCAAAGTGCTCGCCACGGGTTTGCCTATGAATGAGTTAGTATGTATGTACAGTAGTTGACTGGGTGTCCAGGCATGACTTGCCGTCCACGAGAATCTAAATCACCACCCTCCTCTGGCGGGATACGCTTATTAAATGAGGCGTTGGTGCTGAGATCCTTGTCATATCTGACCTCGGCACCGGGAAACTTGTTCTCTACTCGGGAATCGACGCCAGCTTCATCGTTGGGGGAGGTTTTGTGTGCACCAGTCTTGGCCTGGTAAGAGTTTAGGTCCCTCTCAGCCTGGCTGACAATGTTACGTAGTGTTTCAGATGAAGGTGCCATTATGGAGGTGCTGAATGTTGAGATTGGATCGTTGGGGGTACCTATGCGTATTGTGTAGAGTTTGGTGAGATCGAATATCGTTAAAATTGACCGTGAAAATTGATTGACATTACAATAGAAGTCTTGGACAATAATATACAGTAATGGTATTGAAAGGCTTTATATTAACTTCCTTGACGTTCAACTACATCATAGGTCGGCATAATCGTGATCTTGAACGAATCATGAAATCATTAGTCCCCGCCACATTAGGGACCTATGCAGATCATAGGGGGTTACTTTCACTGATATTTCTGAGCTCAGCAACATCTTTTTCTCGTACAACGTACATTGTCTGCGCAAGTTGTCCAACAAAGTTAATAGCACACAGACGAGCATGATATCATCGCCCTCCTTCCGCTTCAATTGCTCCGGCTGCTCTACATTTTAGGTTTCCTTATTTGAACGCGAAATGTTCCACTGCCGGGATGATCCGATCCCAGATCCCATTATCCAGATATCAACTACACCGATAAATTTATGTAGACTTTCTAGAAGCTACTGTATGTGTTACCGGTTTGAATAAGTACGCTTCCAAAATAAATATATGCAGTAATTGGTGACAGTCTACATGTTCTTCTACTCGATAGATACTGATAGATCATCAGCTACACAGCAGCTTCACACGATTATTACGACATCAGCTAGATGCCAGTTAGGAACTCAACGCATGATACTTTTCAATGCAGCTCCTAAGAAATGACATAGCATGGATTACCGTTATATCCTCATGTGAACAGTATAACCACCAGTCATATCGATACAAGGCAGGAAGTTACTAGAATCATACGATAATGGTTCGGAAGGGGATGTTATTTCGAGAATAGGTGATGGCTTTGCGAAGCTGAGCCAAACCTACACAGGCAACAAGACTACGATGCTGCCGGTCGCAATCGAGTTACATCACATCTGCACCTTTCCAGTCGACGAATACTAGCGATATATTTCATGGTATTGTCGAGTTGACATCTGAAATATTTCATCGTTGTATATCCGATGGTCGCTGATATCGTCGCCTGCTTCATGAGATAGCGATGCCAGTATGGACAGTTAAAAGGCATGCTTGTACAGTATAGCATTCTATTTACTCGGTCTGTAGGAACTTTTCACGACCTATGCAAGCACTTAACACCTTTAGGTTAATGTTGTCAAGTCTGGTACCTGAACCAGAATTAAGTCGCTCGCTTAATGGTAGTGCTCTTGTTCCTAGTAGATCAACCTTCCCTAGTCTCCTTGCAGCGATGCGTTCTCTTTATAGTTATTGCTGATTTGTCGTGAAGCTATCAATAATATCATCATGAATTTTATCTACGAGTCCTGAACCCAGTGCTAGGGATATACCCTCATACCCAGGCCTCATGGGCTTAGGGTGGGAAAACCAGATAGACAAGCATGTACTGGCTCACAAACTTAGCTATTACTGATCCGCTGTACAATTTAGGGACATGCTGTACGAGGCAAACATCTGCCCAGCTAACGTTGGCTCAGCCGACTTCAGTTCCACCAAGGAAGCTTCGTGAGCAAAAACATGATGGCAATGTATGAATACAGCGTGCCTTTCGAATCAAATACAGATCTCGAGTCTGAAACTCGTATACCGAGTTTTTCAGCCTACC